GTTTGGCTTCATGCAATTATGGTTAAAACTATCTCTTTAGCAACATTTGCCTCTAAGTCTAACTTATCAAGATAGCTAGTTTAAATTAATCATAACTTAATTCACATTAAGTAATTTTTCTATGTGAAATTAATTATGTGATGACATTTCAAGTTATACTATATATACACACATTTAACTGGATAAAGAGAATGTAAGGATAGAGGGAAACAAGATATTAAGGATAAACAAACTACAAAGAAGGTAAGAGGAGCAACCCTATCAAAGAGTGTTGCTAACCTGCCTCTTTGAATTTTAGAACTTGCTCTGAATTTCCCTTCATCTCCCTCACCTCATTTCCACCCCCCTGCCCCCAAACCTTCAGGAGGCTATTTCCTTTTAATTTTTAACTTCAAAAAAGACGTCTCTCAATGCTGATCTACAAGAAGAAAATAAAGAGTTAAGCGGCAGAAGTAGGAGAGTGCCATCCTGTGTAATACCTGGAAAAAAGCAAGAAGGCAGAAATACAATGTTCTATATGGAAGCAGGAAACAAAGAGGTGCTTCTGTTTGCACGAGTGAGTTTTACTACCTTTGGATGTTGAATGGAAGCACTGTATTTATTAAATGATTTGAAAACATTTGTAAAAGCTAAATAATGTAAATGTACTGAATGACCTGCAGCTTCTTCAAAATTCGATAAAGCCAATAATTATGGTTGAATAATATTTAGAGCTACAGTGTGTACACTAAACATCAGTGTTCCTTCTCCTCTTAGATTTGTATTACACTCTAGCATAATATATGATGTGCAACTTGGAAAACAGAATCTTAAATATCAAGAACATTTTTTTTCAGTACATAGTCTTTAGTCTTACCAGATTTTCCTGAAATGTTTAGAACGATTCTTGCTGCTATATGCAGAGTCTAGATTTTTCTGTAGAAAAAGTTTTTAAATTAACATTTAATAGCACACTTACTTGTTTCCCAGATGTAAGCTTTTCATCCTCAGTGTTCTGTTCTGGTTTAATGATGTGATACATAAAGCTTTTACTATCACATTCTGAAGGTGTGCCTTGACTGTAAATTTGTTTTGCTCCATCTCTGATGTAATGTCTCTGCAGGGGAACTTCATGCAAAAGAATTTTGCTGTAAAATAAAACCTCTGTCACTATTTCACAGTAGATAAAAAAAGAAGGTAGTGCTGAGTAACTGAATAATCTAGAGTTAATTTTCTTGTCGTAGCTAAGACACAAAGTGAGCTGCAAACTTAAATGCTAATAAATTCCTCCCATGCACTATATTTACTTTAAAGAGAAAAGAAAGCAAATTACATACCAAAAGTAATGTAGATAAAATATCATACTTTAAATTTTACTGGAATTAAAGTCAGAAAATTCAGTAGCAAGATTCTCACAGTTTTCTTAGTTCTTAATTATTTAATGCATGTAGTAAAATAAGATGCTCCATCATATACAACAGGTAGTTGTGCACCCAAATAAGAAATGTTGGGAAAGACCTTGAGGAAGATTGCAAAGGTCTTGCAGTTTTATCACAGGGGAAAGGGGAAAAAAAGTATGAAAATTTGGAGTGGACTGATTGGCAGAAAACAGAAAGGGAAAACAGCCTGAAAGATGAGCTACAAGGCCTAGTCACGTTAGTGTGAGTGAGACCCTGCCGAGGCCAAGATTTTGTCAGGAGCTTTCAAATACTGTACGCTAAACATGTCTCTCTTTCAGACAGGTGTATAGCTGAAAGATACTACCCAAACTTTTGCTACCAAAACATCTGTAAATCAAATCAATTCATTTAATTTATATACATCAAGGATTTCTGACTTTCTCTGGTGCTTTGCACATATTTAAACAATTAATTTTACTGACATTAACTTTAAGGACAATTAGCACTGATAGAGTGGATAGGTATAGCCAAGAAGTGGTCAAGGTATAAATCAGGGATGTCAAACATATAGCCCATGGGCTACATCTGACCCATAGAGCCACATAATCCAGCCAGTGTATGTTCAGCCTGGCCCCATGTGCTGCATGGGGCACACACCAGCCCTGGCACTGCGTCACACTAGGAACGGGGAATTTGTCTGGGGCACGTGCTGTATGTGGCACCCACACCGTCCCTGTATGTTAGCTCTGGGGCCCGTCTGAATCAGGCCATGCTGCGGACAGCGCACACACCTGGTTCAGTGGGACACTGCATGCAACACGCACTCCATGCCTGCCTTCTGTGCTGCATGCAGCCCGCATGTCACAAGCATCTTACACCAAACCCCACTCCAAGGCCTGAGGAGCATGGACTGAAGCCAGCACTGCCCGCAGCAAAGGAGATCTGGGCTACAGGCTGCATGCAGCATCCTATCAGACTGCCCCTGCACGCTGGCTCCAGCATGCATGGAAATCCTGGGCCCAATCTGGACCAGTCCTGGAGTCAGCATGCAAGTCTGATCTGGCAGAATGCTGCTAGTTTGTGCACTGGACTACCTGTGCTGCATGCAATACTGGGTCCAATCCACACTGCAAGCAGAGGGAGCTCCCATGAGTTTGACATGCCCTCAGTGTATTGTGAATGCAAGTTCCTTTTCCCAAAGCACCATAGTATTTCCAGACCCCCTCCCCTTGAATTTAACTGAAAGACCTTGATTTACTTGAATGGACTGGGATTAGGATTGGGTTTTAAATGTGGAGTTATTTTCTCTTTGAAGAATGTTCTCAAAACAGCTAGAATTTAAGCATGAAGTATTTAGTTACTAATAAACCTATGCAACCTCTCATTAAATTATACTGCTATCTAGAAGGGCTGGGGTAACAAATATTTTATCTATTTTTAAGGCACTGAAGATGACAGACAGTGGTGAGACTCAATTGGTTGACATGTTAATTAACAACAGAATTATAAAACACCTAGACAACCATGATATGCCAGCACAGATTCTGAAAAGAAAAACAAAATGCCTCCTACTTCCTATTAGAATTTCCAAGCCTAAAAACAGAATAGTAGATAAAGGAGAACTGTTTGACATAATTTACTAGGGTAATCCCAAAACCTGTGACAGAGATGTATTAAAGATATTTAAAAGGTGGTATGTGGTGAGATGGCAAAACCTGCAAATAATATATAAATAATTTGATTTGCAAATGTTAGAGGCATCTGTGAGTATCATGAGAGGAACCTAACAAAGATAAGTAAATGGATAGCAGGCAGCAGCTGAAATTCAATGTTGTTAATGCAAAGTGATGCACATTTATTTTACTAGCTTCTAAATTAACCGTAATCACTCAGAAAATACACAGCTGTGTACTGCTGGGGGAGAGCTCAAAAAAATTATTACATGTGCAGCATCAACAAAAAATTCAGTAAGTGTTAGGTCACAGGTGCTCAACCAGGGTACTGTGGGCTCCTCCAGCAGCCACTTCCCAATCTGGCAGTGTATGAGGTTCTTGGGGCAGCTCCAACTGGTGTCAGTGGCAGCACCCCAGTTGAGAACCACTGAGGTAAACTGAGGCAGCGCAACTGTAGATCTCAACCAGAGTGACACTAAATTCAAAAAAGTTATGGAGGGGTGCCCTGAATATAAAAATGGTTGAGAACCACTGTATTAAGTGTAAGCAAAAGGATGGAAAACGTTACAGTGTCATTTTATAGGTCAAACATACATGCTCATCCAGAATAGCACCCAGTTTTGGTCGCCCTGACGAGAAAGGGTATAGGAGAAATAGAAAGATTTCAGTAATGGACAGTGAAAATGATGAAAACCATGCAAGCTTCCATCTGATGAGAATCTAAAAAAACTAAAGACGTTTAAAAAGGCAGTAAACGAAAGGAAGCACAACAAAAATATGCAACAATGAATGCTATACAGAAGGCGCACTGGGCACTCTTGTGTTGTTATAGTACAAGAACAAGGCAACATCTGATGCAATTTAAGCACAGCAAATTCAAAACTTTTTTTTTTTTTAAACAATAACTAATTTGGCCTGCAGAACTTGCAAGATACCACGGAGGTTAAAGGCTTCACGGTATTAAAAAAATTACTGGAAGTTTACATGAACAAGGAGGAAATCCAGTTACCATATTTACTTGAATATAAGACAATCCTGATTATAAAATGACCCCCCAATAATTAGAGTCTATATGGAACATTTATAAACTTGATGTAATTTAGCAGGTATAGCATTTAATTATGGTAGGTTTGTCTTGAATTTGTCCCTGCTCCAACTGCTATAGCTGGGAAAAAATAAATCTGGGGAATCAGGTAGCTCCTTTGGCCTTTTCTCCCCTCAACTTTTTTCCCCCCTGTAGCCCCCTCCCCACCTCCTTACTATCAGCATGAGCACATGGAAATGAAGAACAAATATGAAAATAAAGACATTGAAATAAGCATAGCTGTAGCAATTTGCATATATTCCCCATAAACTTAGTTCATCCAAAACAAATGCACTTTTACCGTTTTTGAAACTACTGCAAGTTTAAGCACAGGTACTCCATAAATACACATTTATGCAACACTTTGGCACTTGGGTTGGTTCCCAGCAAACTCAACAGCATTTCAAGCAATGGTGACCTCACAGCTCAGGATTGCTCAGTATCTGTGTGTATTCCAGCTACCACCCCACAAAGGATCCATTTGCTAATTAGTCCCCCCACTTGTAATTGGAACCAGGTGTTCTTGTTATCAGTCCTGGGATCCTCCAAAAAAATACATGCAAATGAGACATAGGGCAACCTGGTCCAACTTCACCTCTTGGAGGATGGGGCCATACTAATCATACGTGATAAACTAAGAGCGGGGGGTTACAGAGGGATTCTGGGTGAACTGTTTGGGGCCCTGTTTGATGATGTCTGACATTTAGGGCTTCTCTTTCAGGATGGAGAACACTGGACTGTGCAGTACGTGGTGTTTGCAGTGCCACATACCGCATGACTGTGCTCGTCTGGCTGCGCCCTGTGTGTGCTGGCCTGGTATTGCAATACCTCCAGGCCCAGTTTTCATTCATTCCGGCAGCAGCAATGCCTGTTTTCAGGGGGTTATTAAGGGAAAAAAATGTTTCCTGTCAACATGTTTGCCCAAAATGGGACATGTACTTTATAGTCATGCTCAGTGTTGGCTGCATTTAATCAGCTTCACAGAAGTTTTCCATTAATTAGCACATGATGCTTTTGGTAGCAGTTCAAAGATAGACAATGTATTTAACGGGTGGCCGGGGGGGGGGGGGCTCATCTTGTATTTGAGTAAATGCAGTATATTATAGATATTCTTTTTTTTTTTTTTAATAGATAGAAGAGACATAAATCCTCATGCATCACCATTTAAACTCACCTCTAGCTGATGGGGGATATTTCTTCCCTACCCCTACAGGCAAGTAAATCCATAATTATGCCTTTCAGGGCTTCTTGAATCATCTTCTAAAACATCTTTTACTGGCCAGGATAGGAAACAGGATTACTGCACTTGATCGGCGCCCACAAGAGGCTGAATAGGCTACCAATCTAATAGAGTTTAACAATTTCTATGTTCTGGCAAAACCAGATTTGTTACTGTAGATTCATCCATCATTGTAGTCTAATTCTTTACTGGTACTTTTTACTTCATAGGTGAGGTTGATTTTAATATATCAGAAAGGAAAATACATATGATTTCAAAAAGATAAATTTTAGGCCTGAATTCCTTGATTCTAGTCCTTTAAAAAGAAATGCAGGGTACAATTTAATCATAAGCAACATTATTTGAAAGTGATCTTCAAATTTCAAGGAAACCCTGACTGGTCACAGCAATTACTCAGTAAGTACAAAGAATAAGTATATAATTTTTGGAATGTAGCATACAGTACTTTAAAAAGATTGACAAAACATTATCTGCAAAGGGCTTCATATTAACATATTAATGAAATAGTTTTCAAGCCATTATAGAGACATTGAGGTTTTTATGGTAATATGTAATGTGCCATTAATAACCTGTAAAATGCAGAAGCATGAAGGACAGAAATTTAAAGGTCTATCTTTGAAGAGCTATTAGTTTAAGAGAGTACAGCTGTGCTATTATGAGTTTAGGCATTAGGGCTACTTGTCTCTATCTGCAAATGACTAGGACATTGCAGCCACTTCCCAGCTTTAATCTTTCTAGAACAATAAGAAGA